ACTATATATGGATATAATGATATATATGTATATTTTTTATGCGCTGCAGGTGATTCAAGTTGTTTATAATTTTAACTAATTGAAAAATAATATCTATATATAAACGTATCACGCCTTTGAAAGCTGTTCCTTCATCTTGGTGTTAGTCATTCGACTATGGTAAAAAAAAAAAACAAAACAAAACAATTATAATTAATTATATATTGATTCTTATAATAGACATTTTTAAAAAGAACTCTGTTCTATTTGGTTTTTAATAGTATTCCTTAAATTAGCTCTGATCTCTGAGTTCGATACGATCATATATGATGATGATGATCTACATATATGTATGTATATTAGAGTCTTGCATACAGTTCGAGAACAAAGCCTTGATGAAAGTTGTTCTACAAATAGAACTATGGACAAAAGAGTATTCTACATAATAGATTATTACTTCTTTGTACTATAGATCATCCGGGTGTGTCTTCCTATATTCTATGCCACAAAAATAATTTATTTTCTTGACTTTTTGCTCATATGCCCAAAATGTTGGGCATATTCTCAAGCCATCTGCCCATTTCTATTTCGAAAATAGAATACTTTTCCACAGCCGTTTTCAACAAAATGGACAAAGAGAAAAAACTTGGTGAGCTTCTCGACTAATAATAAATGGCCACATAAAGCAAGAGTTGCAGACAAGTTCTAAATGATTTCTATGCTAAAAGTGAAATGTGGCTAAACCACTTTTTTTTCCAACTTAGCTCATTATGAAGATGGTAGCATGATAATGGCCGGCACTGGGACTCCAGCCACGACTCTGACTCCGACTTGGGCTGGGGCTGGGTCTGGGGCTGCCAGCAACAACAATTCTTAGCTTGACTTCGACTTTGACTCTGTTGTGGCTTTTGCTTTATGCTAGTCTGCAATTTACTTTCAATGCTGCTTCTAAGCGGCAACAACAATTGTTGTTGTAGCTTTCTACAGTGGCTTTTGTTGGCTGGCACTTGTTGCCGCTTGTCAGCAACTGTTGTCGCTGTTGTCGGTGTTGTCGGTGTTGCCTGTGTGTCTGGTTTGTTGCATGTTGGCATGCAGCGGCAACTGAGCTGCTTGGCATGCAATTTGCAATAGTTGCGCTTGCGCAATTCAAATGCACACACAAACACAAACACACACACACACACATACACACACCTGAGCTAAACAAGATCGCGTAATAACTTAGTCAGCAACAACAGCAGCAGCCGCAGCCGCAGCAGTTACGTCGTCTTGGCCAAGACGGAAGACGGAAGATGTGGCAAGCACTTGGCTGCTGCCCCCAACTGCCGCTGCTCCGCCTCTGCCAGCTGAGCAGCTGGCGTGGCCACAAAAACCGGAAAAACGACACGCACTGAGTGTGGCAAGCACCAAGTCGCCGTCGTCGTCAACCGCCTTCAACGTATTTCCCATCGATATATCGATTCTAGGCATCAATATTTATCACCCAGCTCAATTGAAATGGAAACCCAGGGTGTGCGAGTGACTGTGACTAGGTTTCGTAAAAGGCTTTAATTGCATTGATTATGATTGACATGAGCAAATCAGCAGCAAATCAAACCCATCTAGTATCTATATCGAGTGTCACATTTATGTAAGCAGCAATACAAATTGAGCAGCAATTAACAAACAAATTAAACCGAATTTAAAACAATAATAGACAAACACACGCACACACATACACACTCATGCATAGGTTGCTTAAGGCGTGCAGCACGGGCAGCTAGCGGCTCGTTCAGTGACCAGGATGAGTTCAATGTGCTTTACCTGTCCTCAATGGTCAGGTACTTGGGCAGCATTCTCTCCTCTCAACTGTGTGGAACTGGTAGCTGGGCAGCCAACCAACCAACCAACCAAGCAGCTAGCCAAGTAGCCAACCAGTCTGCCCTTCTTGGCCAAGTGCATAGGCCAACTGCAGCAGAGGCAACGCAATCTGCTTTGCATATTTGCCAACTGCAATTGCAACTGCAACTGCAACGAATGGGGCATTCATATCACTTTAAATGTTTGCTATCAAGTGTAATCAGCAAATTGCAGTTAGCGGCTTAGCTTACAGCACAAACTGAACATAAAATAAACACAATTTCGAATTCTAGATGAATCTAGCTGAATGAAACTTTTTAACAGTCACATCTTGGGCTGCTTGCGATTGCAGTCGCTGCACTGTTAATGTTAGCATTGAAGTCTATGTTATATATCAATAGGCTTAACAGCTTAACATAGACAACAACTGTTAAGTCTAAACAAATTCGAATTATGCAGAGCAAAAGCTAAAATCTTTTTAGCAACTGTTCAAATTCGAAGAACGCAAAATAAGTTTGCGTAAAATGCGCAATTGCTTTTAAACTCTCAGCGGAACGACTAATCCTATACCCTATAGCAGCCAAAAATGATATCAAATTCTAACAGCATGGCCTGAACGTATATATAGATAGATATGTACATATAATGAGCACTCTAGATATTACGAGTATATTATGTAGCATAAAGCGTCTGTATCTGTACATTCCATTTATGATTGCATCTCATCCAGTTGCCATCTCTTTCGCACTCGAGCGTAGCAGGTTTCACTTTCATTATCAGCTCAGTTATTTCGATAAGATTTCGACTGCAGCAACTGCGCTTGCAGAGAAAGGCAGAGAAAGTGTGCGAAAGAGAGGCAGGGGCATGAAAGGGGAGCGTGGTCTAGCAGAACTTTATTGTGTCATAGCTTTTTATACATATTATAATAGCTATTCCACATACTATATGCACATGCCGCATAGAAGTGGGGCCATTAAACAAGTTGAGACTCTCTAAAATAGCAGCAACAACAACAACAAAATGCGAATATTTTTTTTGGCTGACATTGAAATTGTTGACAACAAACAAACAAAAAATAGACAAAAAGCAAAAGAAATCAAATAAAATAAATGCCAGCAAGAGATACGAACCAAATGCGATCTATACAAACTGTTTTAATATTTGCTTTTGCAAGCAGTTATTGAAATTTATTAAATGATTATACATATATTATATATAGTTTAGCATTCTAATGTGTCAATCTTGATTAATGATCTAATCTTTAGCTTGCTATATATATTTTTATATATTGAAAACTATTTCTAGCGCTTTAAGACTTTCAGAAAATATTTTGCATTAAAATTATTAAAGTATATGATTGGATAAATTCTCCAAAAATTGCAATAATTTCAATTGGGAATTCCTTTACAGTATACTATGTTTTATTATTAGAAGCCATAAACAAAAGTTTCTAATCAATTAACCTTGAAAGCTTATCACAAAAAAACGTTTTTTTCGGCAAAAAAAAAAAATTTTTGATTGCAATTTTTGCTTTTACTTTTTTTTGTTTCATATTTTTGATATGGACTGTACAAATTGTGTTACTATATATGCATATATATAACTGTAGCTGTAGCTGTAGCTGTGCGCTGCGTTTTGTTGACGCACTGTGTATATGTATACATTCTCTGTCTGAGTGTGTGTGTGTGCATGAGCTGATAAGCCGCTGTCTCAGTCACAGCGACTGCGACTGCGACTGCTGCTGCTGCTGCCGCCGCCTTCCAGTATTTACTTTGAACGCGCTTTTAATTGGTTTTTTGTGCTACAATTTTTTTTATTTATATATATTTTTGTATAGATTTTTATTTTTTCCCCGTTGCGCTTTTTGCAGTCTGCGTTTGAGCTTCGTTCGCTTAGTTTGATTTTTAACGCCCCACAGCGAACGTGATTTGCTGTTTAGTGAATTGGAAATTGAATGATTTAGAATCGATTACCGAATAGATAGTAACTACAAGGTATAAAATTGAATAGTGATTATCTGAGTGTATTAGAGTAAATATAGACAAAGTATTAATGGTACGTTTATATGCAAATACATGTGGCGTTAAATATTATGTTGCCTAGCCAAAAGGCGCGTGCGTGCAAAAGACCTTTCTACGCAATTCTCACGTGTGGCGTATGCAGAAAATTACTGATGTTGATATAAGTAATTTATATTTCTAAAAATATAAATATTCCTTTTTATTATTTATATTATGTTTAATTATTGCAAAAATAAATCATTTTATTATATTAATTCTTTTCTTTCTGATCTGTTTGCTGCCCTTAGATAACACTGCCATATTGCAACACTGAAGTAACTGACAACAAACAACGCGAACAACAACCAAAACTACCTCGTTGCTGGCCAGGCACGACAACATTAAGCGCACATACAACAACACACACCACACAAGCCCAATTGCTTCTTGGTCAGGGAGCAGACGGATTGTCTTTGAGAGATTTCAGTTGATGCATTTCCAATGTAGTTGCAGCCGCCACTTGCTTAAATAAAATGGAACAACAAATATCCCAGAGTCACTAAACAACATACAAAAGAAGAAGCAGCAGTTAGGGAACTGCAAGCAAGTAAAGCGCTCTGAGTTAGGATCAGTTCAAGCAACAGCAGTAGCAGTCAGCCGGAGCGTTCCACATTACGTATACGCAACGTGCAGCATGAGCAAGAGTCAGGGCGATGTTGAGGCGCCGCCTGTGGTGGATGCAGCTGCTGCAGCCAATGGACAACAGAAGCAGTCGAGGCCCAGCAATGGCCACGCCCATCAGCAGCAACAGCAGCAGCAGACGAATGGCAATGGCTACCATCAGAACGGGGGCGGCAGGCGTGACTCGACGCAGGCCTTTACGCCGCTGCTCGCACAGCACAACAGCACGAATGGGGGTGATGTGAGCACTGCCACGCCCACAGCGCCCACGACAATGCTGTACGAGAGCACGCCGAGCAACAACAACGAGTGGAAGGCGTCGGAGGACATCAACAACCTGAAGAACGGGCTGCTGAGCAACAACAATGGCAACGGGCACAGTCTGCGCGAAAAGTATGCGCACGAGCAGGCACCACTGACTGGCGGCTACAAGCTGCCTCCCGGCGGCGGCGCCGGTGGCGGGGCACGCGGCAGTGAATCCGAGGAATCCGACTTTGATTCGGATCTGAATGGCTGCGGCGATGAGGGCTCCAATTGTGGACTCTTTGGCTGCCGGCCACGCTGGGCGCGTCGCTTTGCCTCGACGCACGTGTTCATGGTGGTGTTCCTGCTGGCCTACATACTGCAGGGCATGTACATGACGTACTTCGTCTCCGTGATCACCACCATCGAGAAGCTCTTCCAGATCAAGTCGAAGACGACGGGCTTTCTGCTCAGCGCCAGCGAGATGGGCCAGATCAGCACTGCGATGCTGCTCACCTATTTCGCGGGGCGTGGCCACCGACCACGCTGGATCGCCTGCGGCATGGTGCTGTTCTCCATCGCGGCCTTCGCCTGTGCCCTGCCCCACTTCATTTTCGGCGAGCAGCTGATGCAGTCGAGCGTGTTCCTGCAGCCACAGACGCCGGCCATCAGCGCCGCCTCGTCGCCCCTGTGGAGCAATGCCACAGATCCGAATCTCTGCACGCTGGGCGGCAACGGCACACTGGCTGGCAACGAATGCAATGAGCAGCGCCAGCTGGAGCAAGCCTCGCACTCCAAGATCACGGTCATCGTGCTCTGCATCTTCTTTGGCAGTCTGCTCAGCTCGGGCATCGGGCAGACGGCTGTGGCCACCCTGGGCATACCCTACATCGATGACAACGTGGGCAGCAAGCAGTCGCCCATGTACATGGCCGTTACGATTGGCATGCGCATCCTGGGCCCCGCCTCCGGCTTCATTGTGGGCAGCTTCTGCACGCGCTGGTATGTGAACTTTGCCAATCCGGGCTTCGATGCCAGCGATCCGCGCTGGATTGGCGCCTGGTGGCTGGGACCCGTTGCCATCGGCAGCCTCATGCTGCTCGCCTCCATTGCCATGTTCTCGTTTCCCAAGCAGCTGCGCGGCAAGCAACAGACCCAGGCAGCTGCCGCCATTGCTGCCGCTGCACCCGAGCCGGAGGAGAAACCCAAGCTGAAGGGTAAGCGGAACTACGATTAATATTGAAGAGAAATAATCTATGTAATCCTCTCTAGACTTCCCCAAGACTGTGCGCCGCCAGCTGAGCAACGATATACTCATGTTTCGCACAGCCTCGTGCGTCTTTCACCTGCTGCCCATTGCGGGACTCTACACATTTCTGCCCAAGTATCTGGAGACGCAGTTCCGACTGGCCACCTACGATGCGAACATGATCGCCGCCTTCTGTGGCATTCTCGTCATGGGCATTGGCATCGTCATCTCAGGTCTATTCATATTGAAGCGCAAGCCAACGGCTCGCGGCGTTGCCGCCTGGATCGCCTTCACAGCGCTGGTCTACTCCGCCGGCATGATTATACTCATGTTCATCGGCTGCAGCACCAACGATTTTGCTGGCTACAAGCCGGGCGATGCCAACAGGTGGGAGTAGCAGCTCACGATCAGTGAATCTGAGAACAGTGACTCATGATATTCCCTTCTCTTTTGTAGCCCCGCCATGATTGAGCCCGCCTGCAGCGCCGTGCTCAACTGTACCTGTGATAAGGAGAACTTCGCGCCCATTTGCGGCACCGATGGCAAAATGTACATCTCGGCCTGCCATGCCGGCTGCAGCAGCTCCCAGCTGCGTTTCAGCGACAATCGCACACTCTACACCGATTGTGCTTGCATTCCAAATGGTAAATTCTGACATGTGAATCCATTGCTTGACACTCATATTAAATATTTACCACATTTCAGTTGCTGAGGCAGTCACTGGTTACTGTGATAATAACTGCAAGAACTTCATCTACTTTATAGCGATTTTTGCCATTTGCGTATTTATGCATTCCACCTCCGAGGTGGGCAGCATGCTGCTCGTCATGCGCTGTACACATCCTAAAGGTAAGTTCAAGCTCAGCGATCATACATTTTGTTGCCTATCCACCAGGCGCCGAGTCTAATCTCATGAACTTTACGTTCCCTAACTAGATAAAGCCATGGCCATGGGCGTCATCCAGTCAGCCATTGGCCTGTTTGGTAATGTTCCTTGCCCGATTATCTATGGCGCTGTGGTGGACTCGGCCTGTCTCATCTGGAAATCGGTTTGTGGCAAACATGGCGCCTGTTCGCTCTACGATGCGGATACCTTCCGGCAATACTTTTTGGGTAAGTTCAGAAACTCCATCAACGGGTAACAGGCACTGCAATTCTCTGTCTACTGCAGGCATTACGGCTGGCATTATGTTTTTGGCGTTCCTCATGGATTTGGTCGTTTGGCGGAAGGCGCATCGCATTGATATAGCGCCGGATCAGCAGGACGGTACAACGAATGCGACAGCTACACGTTTCGATGTTTCCGACTCCAAGCAACCCATTGCACCGCCACCGGATACGACGGTCTGAGTCGTGCAAATACGAAAAAGAGGAACAACAAAAACCAACCCAAACCCACAAACACATACACATTGCAAGATTTCCAATAAATGTTTACCTTAATTGTTAATTAGTTATCATTTTGTCTAGTTTTTTAGCGTAGTGCAAGAGTTATGTATTTAGTTAAGTGGTCATATCTGGACCTCAATTAAAATTATAAATGCGCTCATACATAAAATACGTACGTACATGCTTATAACATACAATTATATATATATAAACAAATTATTCATGTAAATCTCAACGTTATAGAAATTTAGAAATTGTCTAACTACATCTGTTTAGAGTTACATCTAATATAATTATATCAGCGACCATAATTTACAAGTAAAACATTTATTATATACATATACACACAATACGAAAATCTATATAACTTTATGTATGTTTTTATGTATGTATCAAATTATATTATATATACATTTAATATATAGTTGCAACCTATCTGTGGTAGTTAAATTTTAGTTAAAATTCAAAATAAATGTATAAGTTTGTCATATAAAAGATATACGAAAAGAAATTAATGGAAATATAAATTATGTCTAAAGTGTAACGATTGTTTGGCATTTGAATTTAAACCTGCTGCTCAGTCTATCGATAATGCACTTATCGATAGCACGTGCATGACGTTCAAGTTAACAGACTGTAAGCTAACAGCCTACTGACTTGGCATTCAGCTGTTAGACATAAAAGCTTCGTTCGGTAACAAAACCAGAGAGAAAAATTTCGTATGTAGATTATAAATTGTTTACAAACTCAAAGTTTGTTATCAAATAGCAGCTGAGCACGAAAGTGAGCGCTACGATATCATTGACATCATGAACGTGCTGAAACACTTTAAGAAAGGTAAGTTTCAATGTCACCTAAACGTCTCAATACGTCGGTTTCACGTTACCGATATTTTTGAGACAGTTACAAAACGTAGTTTCCCATGACACACATCAGAGACCATTCACCTATCTGCTCTGCCTTATGCATGCGTCACGAACAGGTTCGCCCAAGCCTGAGCTGCCAAATGATGGAGTCTTGCGCCTCTACCTTATGCGGTTTTGCCCCTACTCCCAGCGCGCTTCGCTGGTGCTGGCTGCCAAACATATTCCACATCACAAGATCTACATTGATCTGTCCGAGAAACCCGAGTGGTACACCGACTTCAGTCCACTGGGCAAGGTGCCAGCAATTCAGTTAACTGCTGTGCCTGGCCAACCGGCTCTCGTGGAATCTTTAGTCATCGCCGAGTATCTGGATGAGCTGTACCCGGTGCGTCGGCTGCTTCCCGAAGATCCCTTGCAGAAGGCTCAAGATAAAATACTCATTCAGCGCCTGTCCCCAGCTATCGATGCCGTGTATCCCGTGTTGTTCACCAAAGATCCACCAGAGGATGCATTGCCTAATTTCGAGAATGCTTTGGATGTATTCGAGCAGGAGCTGACCAAGCGTGCAACGCCCTACTTTGGTGGCGCCCAAATTGGAATGGTTGACTATATGATCTGGCCTTGGTTCGAACGATTTCCAGCACTCAAGCATGTAGTGCCCGGGGAATATGAACTGGACAGAGCTCGCTATGCTAAACTACTCGATTGGGTTGATCTGATGGAAAAAGATGAGGCTATCAAGGAAATAGCGCTGGATAGCGAGACGCATGCCCAATTCATGGTCACGCGCCAGGAAGGCCAGCCCAACTATGATATAGCTTTCCCAGTTGCTACAGAAGAACTCATGGAATAATTCAGGCCCAATAATAAATTACTCTTGAAATGTGATCTTATAAGTCTTGGTGTAATGTGCCTCAATATCATTGATATTCCCATGGCCTTTTTCTTACAGGTTCAACGAGAGTTTTAAAAGAGAAACCTGTTAAGGGAACCCAAGTATAATCGTGCTCTTAAAGATTAGCTCAAACATATTTATTGCTCCCTTAAATATGGACACAGCTTAAGCATCCTTGACCAAAAGATTATAGTTGGGTTTGCCGGCGCTGCGCGTGCGCAAAAACTCAGCCTGCACCTCGGCTTCCATATAGAAGGCCATCACAGCAGGATCACGTTTCATACGCTCTCGCCACTCCGTCTGCAAGGCAACGATGATATTTGAGAGCATCAGTTGACAGATTTAAACACTCACCAGCTTTGGGAAACGTTTTTCGTCATAGTTGTAGTCGTCACCGCGCTGTAGCTGCAGCAGCTCCAGCCGCTCACACCAGGGCCAAATCATGTAATCCAATATGCCCGTCTGTTCGCCGCCAAAGAAGAGCGTGCCACGCCTGCTCAGCTCTCGCTCGTATATATCAAGCCCACTCCAGAAGGGTTCCAGGTCGCCGCCATCGGAGGCCTTAAAGAAGGCGCCAAGAACGGGACCAAAGCGTTCGATGAGCAGCTTCTCCTGCACCTTTTTCAGCGGATCACGTGGGTATAGCGGACGCAGTGGGTACTGCTCGTCCAGGTACTCGCATATCAGCAACGACTCGGTAAGGACTGGCGGACCTGGCTCGCGCACTAGCTCCAGCGCTGGGACTTTGCCCTCGGGATTCTTTTCGAACAGCCAGTCTGGCTTCTCTGTGAGATTTATATAAATGCTGTGATAGGGTATCTGTTTGGCATCTAGCACCAGATGCACGCGCTGGGCAAAGGGGCAGAAGCGCATGGAGTAGAGCCTTAAGATGCCATCCTCGGGCACATCGGGCGTCCCAGAGCCTGAAGATTAGATTTGTTGAGCAAGTAGAACCGACTGCGTTGCTGCTTACCTTTTGCCAAGTGTCTGCCGCTGCTCATGATGTGTGCTGCTTGATGCGAGACGCAACTGGTGCTTGGAGCTCAGTTAATCAGCACCTTTATAAGGTTTTCAATTGAGGTGCCCTTCGCCGAAAGGTGTGCATTACCGTGGCTGAACTTGGTGGGCTGTGTGTGAACCTTTGGGGGTGTATTGCGGCGTGTGACACACATAAAACCGGTACAGTGAAGCCTGTCTAAGTTGCTATAACTAGACATGTAGATAATATTTTTGGATGTTCCACAAACATTCAAGCTGATCAAAAATATTCAATTCTTTATTTGTATAAACTCAAAATGTTTTGCATTAACTCCGATCAAAATAGATCACAAAAGTGTACAACAACGAGATTAATCTGTGATTATGGCTCAAGCAAGCATATCGTAGTTGGCATTGCCGGCTTTGCGGGTGCGCCAGAACTCCACGTGCTGCTCAGGCGTGACATAGAACGACTTAACCCACTCATCCTTCAACATTAGCTCAATCCAGGCATTGAGCTTGGCGAACCGTTTGACATCAAAATTATAGCGATCCTCGAGTACAAACTTGATCACAGGCAGACGCTCAAACCAGGGCCAGATCATGTAGTCCACGAAGCCTGGCTTGCTGCCAGAGAAATAGGCCGAGCCACGCTTTCCCAGCTCCTCCTCAAATATATCGAAAGCAGTCCAGAGCTCATCAGGTTCTGCATTGTGCACTATAATCTTCATAAAGTTGCTGGTCACAGCTCCAAAGCGCTCTACTAGGATTTTGTCCTGGGCACGCTGCAGTGGATCCTTGGGGAGCAGTGGATTCTCTGGATACTTCTCATCGAGATATTCTACAATGATGAGCGACTCAATCAGAGCCGGCTGATTGCGTTCGCCAACCAAATGCAGTGCCGGCACCTTCAGCAGAGGACTATAGTCCACCAGCCACTCGGGCTTCTCCGTTAGATTAATGTAAATGATGTGGTGAGGCACCTTTTTGGCATTCAGCGTCAAATGAGCACGCTGGGCATATGGGCAAAAGCGCATAGAATATAGCCGGGGCACACCATCATCAGGCAACGCCGGCCGTGGAGAACCTACAACATTAACATTTCAATTTTGATTAGTCATTCTATAAAAATAACCGATAAGAATGTCTCGCAATATTTCTGGATACTTCAAACTTGTTTCTTTCCAAAGAACACGCAGAGAATGAGTGATTATTTTATCTAATGAATGACGTACCTTTCGCCAAATGCTTGCCAGCACTCATAATTAATGGTTGAAGTTTGATGCGGCCAAAGAAAGACGTTTTGCAAAAAAAATTAATTAACTCCTTGTCCAGCAATTGACTCGCCTGCTCACAAATGTTAAAGGCAACTAAATAAGAAAGCGCCGTTGCTCTTACTTAAATGACATTGATTGCAAAAATGTTAAGAGTCGAACATTTTCTCTCAGTTGCCATAGCTGGCATATGTGAAATTCCTTTTAGGTAAGGCCGTTCAGGCAAATGCAAAGAGCAACCGATAGTGAGCGACAAACAAACATTCGTTATGAAATACGTGAGCGTAGCGGCTGCTCTTTGCGCTTAACATTAAATATGGCGCGCTCCAACTGTTACGTTCTTTACATTCCATATTTGCGAACTCTCTCTCTCTCCCTTATTCAGTCTCTCTTAAATTGTTGCGCTGCTTTATGCTTATTTAAAAACGATTTCTTGTTGTTTATTATGCGAATAAAACGCGTTTGCTACATATTCGGTTTTAGTTGTACACCACTTTCGTATTTAAGTATGTAGGTGTATTTGCATTTGTATTTGTTTTCGCATACACATACGCGCATCCATTTAATTAGTTAAGAATCACGATGATTTGCAAATACATACGTATGTATATATGTATACATAGTTATGTATGTTGCTTTGTATATATGTATATATGTATATTTTAATATTTGTAGAGGGGAAATTCCGCTTTACAACTTTTAGATTTTAATTGAATTGTCAACTACTAAGTACACACATTTAGATACATAAGTAGTTATTTTTTGTAATTTTTCAAAAATGTTCGATTCGGCGGCCCTTCAAAAAAATTAACTTATCCTATTTACAAAATGCTTAAAAACTCTACCCAACGAAGTGTTTATAAATATATAAAAAATATATATGCAGCAAAAAACACAAAATATGTGATACATATAAAACATTCAAATGAGTTTAAGCTATTATTATTTGAATTAAAAAATAATTGAAAGCTGCTTTTCAGTTTAAAATTGAAAAAACATTCATTGGACTCAAAAGATCTCTAACAATAATTCCATCAAAATTAGTTAGATAATTCTTGTTGAAGTTTTTAGTTCAATCACTAAACAAAAATGTTTGACTCGAATATTACATTTGATATAAACTCTTATTTTTTTGTAAATTGTTTCAAATGTTTGGGATTCGCTATAATTGCGCCTTTTGCTGTTCGCGAGTGGGGAATAAAGTTTAAAACTACAATAGATTTTAAAATACTACAGAGTTAAAGTATTAATCGTATGTTTTTGTTTGTTTTGCATCGTTGCCTGACGATTCCGATCCTAAGTTTCGTTTACAGTTTCGTTTTAAGCTGTAGTTTTTTGTTTTAGTTAATTTCAATTCTCATTTGGTATTTTGTTTTTTTTCTTTCTTTTGTTGCTCTATAAAATATGCTGTGTTTGCTGCATTTTGATCACGGTTCTTGCTGTTTCGTATAAATAATTTTTATAATTTGTTTTTTGTTTTTGATTTCTGGAACGACTTGATTTTGTTCAAAAAATGTTCATCTTATTGCTTCTCTCACTCGTGGCCTGACTGCTGGTGGTCTTGTTGTTGCTCTAGTTGTTGTTGTTGTTGTCATTGGAGTTGTGCTTCTGCCTGGGCTCATGCGGTTGAGCTGTTGGCCAGCCCCGGTGATGCGGTCGTGGCGCCATTTCCCCTGCTGCTAAGGCCTTGTCCTTGTCCACCACCCAGCCGGCTGGCACTCAAATACTTTTTATGCACCACAGCAGCTGCGGCTCCTGGCGAGTTGGCGACTGCCGAGCTGACGACTGTGTGCTGCATTTGGCCAATGGAGGCAGTAGAAGAATTGTTGTTGTTGTTGTTGCTGCTGCTGCTGCTGTGAACAGAGTGAACAGAGAGTTCAACAATTGCTCGATTAAGCAGAGCTTTATCACACACACCCCTTCTGTTCGCCATCCTTTTTGCTATTGAACATGGCTAGCTCGATTTCCGTGTGCTGGCTATTCATATGACGCACCCACTCCGCAGGCGTTTCAAAGGAACTGCAACGAAACGAAACGCTATATATTGACATTTGGTTTGCAATGCCATTCGATCTTACGTGGAGCAGAGATCGCAGAGCAGTGTCACATGATCCATGTTGTTCTCCTGTTGCTGTTGTGCATGCGAATGAGGGATGGGAAGAGTTAAGGGCTTGTCCAACACACCAATGGATCCAACGGCACTCACCGACACTCTGCGTCGCTTCTTTGGCACATAGGTCTTCAATGCTCTCAGCGCCAGATTGCTATTGGCTGCGGAGCTGCTGCTGCTGCCCGTGCCGCTCACACTGCTGCCCATCACATTGCTCGTTGGCTCGGCAGCATGGGTGCCCAGGTGACGCACAAGCATTTTGGTATCTTCAAACGACTTCTGGCAGATCTCACAAACGAGTAGCTTGAAATTGTTGTAATCACGTAACGTATGCTCCTCGGAATCGTCCTGAGGCGTCGAGTTTGCCTCCAGCTTGACAGCGTTCATCTTAAAGTCCAGCGGCTGCTTCGGCGACAGCTGCGCCTCCTGGCTCAGGTCGTGGTTGTCGTTTGGCAGCGCTCCTGACTGATTGCCCGTTGACCAATCGGTTGGCTCCTGCTTAATGGTCAGAAAACTATGCGGATGTGGGGGCGTGGCCAGGCGTGGTGCTGTCGTTACTTCATAAGACTTGACCACATGCTCATAGTGCGGGGCATCGTGGCCAAAGTATTCGTGGGGTGGGGCTACAAATAGACAGAAATCCGATTATACAAGTACTGTTCTTTCAGAGTACCAAAGTTTTACCTCGCTCACAGGATCGCTCGCGGCGCAGACGTCTCTCGTAGACCATGCCCACATCGTCTCTTTCTCGCTCGCACAGTGGCTCCTCAACCATACGTTCACGTTCTACATAATCCGAACGGCGTAATGTGGAGTCCGCTGGTTCGGTGGCCGGCGCAGCCAGTGGGCAGCTGTTGCAGCCGACTTCTGTGCAAATGGACATTTGTTGTGGTGGTGGTGCAGCCACTGTAGTTGTAACTGCTGTCGCTGATTGTGGTAGACTTTCGACTTGGCTCGCTGCTGTATAGCAGCACTTGTCCTCCGGATCAATAGCTACTTCCTTGTTAACAGAGATGCCGCCGGCAATCAGCTTGCTGCTGCTCGCCACGCTGAGCAAACCCGTGTGGCTAGCAATTTTTGGTGACTTCACAATCACCGGACTGTCCTTTGGCATTACGGAAGCACCCAAGCCGCGAAATTGTTGATGATGATGGTGCTGATGCTGATGGGGATGCGTATGTGCATGTGGATGCGTATGCAGATGATCTAGAGAGTAACGAGCCGAGCTGCTGCTGCTGCTACTGCTGCTGGGCTTGTTGTTGTACATATCACCGGGAAGCTGTGCGGACGACATAGGCGGTGGTGGCGGAGGCGGCGCCAGTGAAGAACGTGTGCCATTCGAAACATACAAAGCACTGGGCTCACGCTGATGATGCAGGTGGTGTCCACTGCCGGTAGCACCGCTTGCAGTGCTCGTCCGGCAAAGGCCGCGTATCTTCAGTATTTCTCCGCCGCGCAGCACTTCATTTAAGATATCATTGGAGACCGTTGCTTCGCCACTGTACATATACTGCACAAGGATTTGTATGGCACGATGACTCAGATCAGGCGGAAGCACTATATAGAGAACGCCATTGGGCGCTGTAATTGGCGCCGTCTCAAACATGGTGGCAAAGAACTGGCTGCAGGAGCTCAAAATAAATTTGTGCGCTGATATGCCCACTGTGGGTATATCTGAATTGATGCCACTGTTGTTATACGAACTGTATAGCATAACGTCGGCAAACTTTTCATTTCTGCGTGTTGATAAAGGAACTTGATTAGCTTAACTACTTTCCCTCAATAAATGTGTACTTACTTGTAGAGCGTCGCAATGGAAGTGTTCAAATAGGACAAATGCGAGTCCCATTTCAGATGATAATTCTCGGCGGCCATTTTCGCGGCCGTTAAGCGTTAGTCGAACGCAACTGTTGTCGTCTATTTGGTAGGTACAATACAAAAAAAAAGAAATACAAAATCAATAATAAAATCGATAAGTGGCGCGCAAAAATGAACAAACTAGTGAACGTTGCGCAACACTGCAATTGCGTTGCTATCGAAACTTCTATCGAACTATCAAGTTGTGTTTGTTTTGATGCACTCTGTGTGAGCGTTGGGAAAATTTTGTTTATACTTTTTGTTTACAATGTCCACGTGTTCACAATTTGATAATCGTCTTATAGAACTAGTGCGTTCCAATCCCAGTTTATATGAACGCGAAGTGCGTAAGTCACCTTATGATTCCAGTAAGAAAAAGAAAACTGAATTGTGGTGCAGCATCGCAACATCCTTAAAAACTGATGGTTAGTGAGTGTTCTATGCAATCTTTATGAGATTATATATTAAAAGTTTCAAATCGTTAGTCAACACCTGCATAACACGATGGAATTTCATTCGGGAGAAGTTTCGCAAAGAACTGCTGAAGGATCACTCCGATTGGGACTTTTTGCCCAAGCTACAGTTCATTGCACAACCCAAACACCACAGCAACAATGGCCATCACATTGGTGAACGACAAGTTGTTAATAGAACGGCACCTCTAACTGCTAATTGGAATTCGCAAGGCACCGAGGAGCTCATCGAAAACGATGAGGAAGATGCGCTGCAGGAGGCAATGGATGAACAGCATGCATCTACAGTTAATGTGCAACCACCGCTAGCAACAGCAGCACCACCACCGTCTGACACATCGTTCAGTGACGGCGCCATGAAACGCATTGAGGCTCTGCTGCAGGGCTTGGGCGCCAATCGTAGTAAGGCTGAGAAAAAGATTGTGGCCTATTTGTGCAAATGCAATCTGCGTGCTCTCAACGACGAGCAAATCGATGATATATTTATTTAAATAAGTCTTGAGTATGTAAGTCGAATTGTAAGTATCTTATTTCACTCTTAGGAGGTATTGGGCGCAAAAATCGAAGTCACAAAGCAACTCCAACTATGACGCAGTTAGTTGAGAGGTCTGACTGCTGGTCAAAGAGTGCGCGCGCAAGCAATAACATGTCCAATAACCATGTCTGGCTGGTTTGGGTGGGTGGGTTGGTGTTTGGGTGTGTGAGTAGACGACGCCAAACAAGCATTTAGTTTATTAATTTCGATGACACTGTCCTGCATGGTTACTAGTGTAAGGGCAACGCAGTGCACTAGGCCCACCCCAATCACTTACAACACCCCACTAACTGCCGCTCTATCAGCTAATATGAACCACTAATACTTCATGCATCATGCCCGTCGTCGCCCACCTTTCTAAAGTTGATGTGTGTGTAGTAGCTGTAGCGCATTAACACCACATTATCGATTGATTTGGGCAAAGGCACGCACAAAAATCGATAAGCATGCAAAGCCAATGCAAAGTAATGTATATATATACATATATATATAAATATAGTTCAATTATTTAAATACTGTTCAACTGCATATTAGTTACGGCAAAATTATAAACTCTTTTATTCATTGCTAATAAAGGATTTCTTTTTAAAAATACGCGCCTAAATTGTAATGTGTGTGTGTGCGGTCGGGTGAGTATATTTAATGTGTGTATGATACATGTATGATTCACCTTATTCTTTCCTTTTGTTCCGATTACTTGTAACGGTCAAAACAAATTTACAGTCACTTTCTGATTAACTTCGTATGTTATTTGTTATTGTTACTCTTCTTTTACAACAATAATGGTAGACACAAGCAAAAACACGGCGACGTTATATGTTGCGCAGCGCGTCCAAAGCTCTCGCTTGTCAGCGTACTAATGCCCAGAGAATAGGACTTTCAGTTTAGTCCTGGCCAGTCGCACACATACAAAGCGTCAGACAAAAGACCGATGAGAGCAACAGCGAGAGAACGTGAGCATAAGAGAGCGCGCCGTGCACTCACGTGCGCATTGTTATTGTTGTGGTTGGTTTGAAGTAACACACACACTCACATACACAGCCACTAACACAGAACGCGCGTAAATTGATTTTTCTTATCGATTTGTTGTTTTAGTAGCTGCATTTTTTTTTTTTTTTTAAATTGGCTGCGGCTGCGCTTTGGCTTCAATTGTGGGAACTTCTTGTGCGAGCTTTTTATTGATCTCCTCCTTCTCCAGTTGCATTTGTGTGGCCGTTGAGGTATCCTGTTTAAATAGCTCGCGCAGAAGCATTGTTGCATAAACAGCTGTTGGCAAAGTAAACTCCAACAGCAGAGCCGTATAGCAGTTCTCTGACTCAGGGGGCTCAGGTGTAACCTCAATGTTTTTCAACTGCTCCCAGTCCGAGGCTATCAGTGTGTCCTCGTGTGTGCTGTATCGACGAAAACTCCATTTCAAGTCGTCCGTTTGTATGAGCAGTTTACGATAGGCACCGCCAAGAGCATAGGTTTTCTCCTTGTGTCGCAATTGCTCCGACGTTAACCCTACCTCCGCGAGCATCTCCTCATACCAAGCGCCACACTCATTGCTCGGATATGTTATATCGTAGCCAGGAAGTGGGAGTACTACATCTGACAATTTATATTTGCCTCCGGCTATGTCCTCATCTGTGAGTGGGCGAACTTTACGTTTAAATATGGACTCCTCTTCCAGCGGACTGTCACCTACACCTTCCAACACATCCTCTATGATTTCGTCGGTTCCAGCTGACGGCACAGTCTCCTCTGGAGCTTGAACCTGCTGACCATTCTCTTCCTCGACGTAAACCAAGTCTCCAGGAATCAATTTTAATCCAAACTCTCTGATTCGTCGCGAGGCGATGCGATTGAAGATCAGACTCTGATAAGCATGAGGGTATAGGAGTAGCATATTACGTGGAATGCGGCGCAGAGCTGCAGCGTAATCGTTCTCGCCATACGTGGCCAAGCCGTCCAAGAGCTTCTTTTCAATGAACTTATTTCCATGGAACATGGCTGCAGCAGCAGCTGAATCCCGATTCTCCCACCAAGCCTCACGTATAGCGCGCATAAACTCCAAATCATTGTCACGTGGCTTTAATATCAACTCACAGGCCAGCTTGTAATCGCGTTTGAGCAGTGCCACGCCCACCTCATGAGTGGGTACACTCGCGCTATTGCCAAACCGCTGCAGGCCATAATAGTTGATAAATCCGCGCTCTTTTAGTGACTCCAATGCCTGCTCGATGTGCTCTCGAGGATGTGTAATGTGGCGCAGTGCAATACGGAAGCGATTGCCCTTAAGATCGCCCAGCTTCAACGTTTCAGGCCGGAAGGAAAAGTTACCAATGAAAACATTGCCTATACCTCGCGCAGCATTCGCGATGGCCTCGGGAGTACGACGTTTAATGCAAAATCGTTGCGTGGTTTTTGCGCGTTTATCTTTGGTGCCACAATAGTTCACCTGCGATGGATGCAGACTGTTGATAAATATGTGGAAATTATCTGATATTAATCTGGAACGCACTTAGATATGTCGGAACTCACGTCAAGCGATTTGCTATCGTTGAAGCCACCTCACTCGTATCCATATTGACTTTGTGCACCAGAAAACTAACAAAGTCATGTGGAAAACTCCAACGGCTATCAGCTACCAGTTAAATACGAAAAAATTAAGATTTGATTTATGTCTTGAAGAAATAACTTACAGCGGCCTGGTTTGGGCTTTGCTATGCGTATTATTTTCTGCTCTTCCACCTGTTGATTTGCTGGCTGCTCAATTGTTTTGGATACCAATTTGTTCCTGTAGAGCTGTTTCACAAGGTGATGGATTAGAGTACGTTCCTGCTTAGTAAGGTTGCTAACGTTTATATCCACTTTCTGTTCACTCTTATTATCATATTTGGCTGTGGACAAGTCGGCTATTTGCTGCCACATTTCTTTGTCAATGATTGGGGCCAGCTTTTCGCGCCATTCGTCTAATACCACCGGATCCACGGCTGCAAATAGTAAATTTTTTAAATTTCATACTAATTTTCCTTAACTTTAGCTACAAACGTTCAATTTCCGCCTTTGGCACGCTTAAATCATTCAGCTGTAGCACGTGCCCGTCAGTGTCGATTTCGTTGACATGGAAATCGGAGAAACGAGACTTCAGAATGCCCGTAAAGCCTGCAATGTCTGCATTTGTGAATTCCGTAATGCCCACCTGATTCTCAAGCAGTGTGCACTTCTGCTGTGGTACTCTGCAAGGAAAGCCGGTGAGTACTTTGAAATCTTAGAAATATAAAACTTCACCTGTTGACTGATTGTGACTGGCCATTGCTATGTTTTGAGTGCTCTTTCTTTTGTCCACGCCAATTGTGCTTGTTATACGGTTTGGATTGGAAATTCCGACGTCCTCGTCCTCGTCCACGTTCTTTACCCATTTTTAATTGTTTATACAAACGTTTCTTAGTGTTCTTATTCCTTGACAATATCGATATATACTGTTACCCACGTTTCGATAACTTTAGCCATTCACACAAGTACGTAGTTAATATCGAGGTGTAACGATAGTTACGTAGCTGCGATGACGATGTCTTTGTTATAAAAGTTGATGAAAAGATAATACGAAAACATACATATTTACACTCAGCCACGCAATTCAAGTCATCTTAAAAAAACTAGAACTTGCTTACAAATTGTGATAAGAAAAACACCCTAATATGCTGCCACACATAAGTGCCGAAGAGAACATTCCACCCGTGGGACGAAAAGTGTATATAAATCCGAATTTTCATAGTCAAGTGACGAGTGCGCTGCTGCCTCAAGGCCGACAGAGTCATGCGCTAGAAGCATGGGAGCGACCAGCCATACATATAAATCCGTATTTTCTGCAGCGGCAACGTGAATATCAGCTTCAGCAGATGCAGCAGCTTCAGCAAGAGCAACTGCAGCAGCAGCAAATACAGCAACAGCAGCAACAGATACTACAACAACAACAACAGCATGTTACGTATTATCAGCAACAAACTGTTGCTGTCGAATTGACGCCACCGCCTCCCGCGAAAATCATAAGCAAAGCAAGCACTTGCCTGGTGCGCAAGCAGCCTTTAAAAACCCCACCCATTCAGCGACGTGTACAACCACCTCTAGTTAGCATAACCAAACGAAAACTTGTTAGACAAAGTGCAGTCTTAGTAAAACCAACTGTGGCTACAACTGCCAAGCCCACAACTACAGTTGTAACTGCTGCCAAGCGTACCAAATACAAGCTAGTGCGTGCCATTTCCCTAACTGCTCACAGCAGCACGCCCTTGGTGAAGAAACGTAGAACTAAAGAATTTGTGGCTCGCTACGCACTGAGACGCACTAATGATGCGATCGCTGGCAAAAAATTGAGGTATGTTTTTAAGATAGCTTCATCAGTCTCTTGAAGTAGTTCTGCTAACCAACTCTACTCTACTCGCAGCTTAAAGAAATTGAATACGCTAAAGCCCAACGTAAACAAATCGCTCAGCATGGTGAGCATACATGGCGTGATGTACAAGAAGACAGCCAAGAATAAGCTGACCAAACTAGATGCCAATGCCTCAGCGAAAAAGTCTGTGCCAGCTCAGCAGCAGAAGGTAACTAGCTCGATTGGTCGCACGTTGTTTGTGCGTGGCACCAAATTCGTCCTGGATCCCTCTGGCTGCCGTTTGACCCGTGTGTCTGCACACAGCTCGCCAGTGATCGTTAATAAGAGCTTGCGTCGGCGCATCGACATTGGAGGATTGACTTATGTCTCCTCGCCGAAAGCACAAAATGTTTTCATACGCACCACAAATCATGTGTTCCGAGCCCATTTGATGACCGCCAAACAGCGTAGTCTTCAGGTGCTGAATCGCTCGCTTGTGAAGACAAATGTGCCATGTGCTATATATCAAAGGCTGGGCAAGTGTGCGGCTTACAGTCGAGGCAAGTGTCGACGACTGCACGACAAGCGACAGGTTGCCATCTGTCCAAAGTAAGTACAATTAGCTCTATCGACATGAACTTGAACTCCTGCTCATGCTTTTCTTGTAGCTTTCTGCGAGGTGAGTGCACCAAGAAGGACTGTCTGCTCTCGCATAACGTGACGCTGGAAAAGATGCCTGTGTGTCGTTACTTCTTACGGGGTGTCTGTGTGCGTGAGGATTGCCCATATCTGCATAAGAAATTGAGCCGTAAAGCCGAGATATGCATTGACTTTCTGCGTGGCTACTGTGCGCGTGCCGCTGATGTAAGTTGTGCTCTACTTTCCAATCGATTCTTATTAACTCTTATCAAATTTCAAGTGCAATATGCGACATGAGTTTGTCTGTCCGGAATATGCGCGTCACGGCAAGTGCGAGCTGACCAACTGCGTCTACTGCAAGCAAATGAAACAGCAGCCCAAACTATCTGCAGTGCGATCTACACCTAAATCCAAAACTAAACTTAAAACCAAATCTAATGTGCAATCTGTTCCAGCTATTGCTGACGCTGCAGCAGAGGAATTGCCCGGTAGCTCACGCTATTTTGTTTGTGAAAATGATAAGTTTCAGGTAGAGGCAGCCAGTCCGCAGGAGGATGATGAGCAGGAAGTTGAGGCTGATTTGGATGAAGAGGCCTCGCCCAGCAGCAGTGGATTGCGTAAAAGGCCGAAACTGGGCCAACTGCCCGCGTTTATACCCTTGGGTGGCAGCGAGCAGTGAACCAGATGACTGCCTTGGACAACTGTTTCAGGTACAAATTAATTCTTTTAAGTATATAATTAAGTTGGCATACATTTTAATTTCCTTAGTGCTTAGGTTAAAAAACAAATCTAATAAAGTTCACGCTATTTTCAAAAGAAAACATTTGAATGTGGCATTTATCCGTCACAAAACAGAAAATGTGTCGTATTTTAAATATGTATTTTACACTTAGAGAGATGCTCAAGGTATTTAGCTAGAACCAATCGTCCTCGCCATCATCGTCGTCATCATTATCGTCTTGCTTCTCGTTTTCCACTTCGTCGGCCTGCACATTTCCGTATAACTCGATTTTGCTGTCCAGAAAGCGAAAGTCCTTCAGTATGTGCAACTTGTTGCTGTATCCAGATATGGACATGAAGTTGAAGGGATTTGTTTGCCACACGGACGAGTAGCTGGCTGTGTGCTCGACGGGAATGTTGGCCTGCAACGCTCCATTGAGCGTATAGAACTGCACATGATTATGCTCTCCACCGATAAGCACTGAGTCGTCTACAAACTCACAGACATGCACGCGACCAGGGTAATCAAATGTGCGCGTGCATTCCATTGAGCGCAAATGCCAGATGGCCGGCCGTGGACCACCACCACAGACCAGCCAGTCATTATTGACGGACACAGCGCCAATCCATTTGCCCCAATCTGGACGCAGTAGTTGCGGATTCTTGTGCGGCTCTAAAATTGCGGTTGGCTCCTTTTGCTTGTCCGACCAGAAATGCACAGTGCCATCCTCGCCACTCGAGTAGATCCGCCCATCCGGGTGGCCGACAACGCAGTGCACATAGTCCGTGTGTCCGCGATATTCGCGCTGAATGCGTCCATCTTCCAGGTCGATTTTATAGACGACGCCGTCGCCGCAGCCAGCATACAATGAATCCGTTTCAGTGCATAGCCAAAAGGAATTGACATCTGGCACCTCTACAGCATCCACTTGCATGGGTATTTTGATTTCCCAGGCACGCTTTGTGCTCAATGTTTCCTCTTCCTCATTCCACTGAATTCCATAAATGAGTCCAATGGCGCCAACAATTAGAAAATCGCGATGAAAGGCAAGACAATTTATGTGCACATCGCTTCCCTGGGGAAATGTTTTCAGCTTTTTCGGAGGCTCTTCATTTGTTTTATTCAATTCATTTAAACTGCAAGCAAATTACTTTTATCAAAGAACTATGCTTTTATTTCAAACAATTTACCTTAGAACGAAAATATCGCCAAACAGGTTGCCAGCAAATAGGAACTTTTGTGACGTTGATATAGCTTGAGATACAACATTGTTATATGTACGTTTTAAATCTATTTCTTTCATTTTGACTGATATATTCTTAACAATACAGTCCAAGACGCGTTGTTTACGCCGGCTGTTTTTGATAATCGAGTACACCCGTATCGATAGCTATCATGGTTTTGCCAATATCGATATGTTCAAAAGGTGGCAGCCTTGCGAATTTTTTTTTTTAGTACATTTAAATTAATATTTTAAGTTTAATAACAATAAGTGCTTATTGTATGTCGTTGCACTTGACAAGTAATAAATATGAAATGGGCAGATATGTTTACAATTGTTGCATTTACAGTATGATTTTTGGTTTTTTACCATAAATTTCAAAATCCAGTTTCCGAAAATATGCGTTTTTGTTTTAAACTAAGTTCAGTGACATTCGAAACCTGAGCTGCTGGAGGAAGTTTCTTTATTTTACATTATAAGTATTGTTTTGTAAACAAGACAAGGCAACACATTTGTGCTAATGATTTAATGAACGCTCTTGCATTTTATTCATTTGTCTGTTCAGAATTTTCCTCATCTGGTTTTTGTTTACAAACCGAATAATTTGATCGCCTATTTTTTAGTTTTAGAGACCACAAATTGTGTTTTTTTTTCAACAAGAGTTGGCTGTCGACTCCAGTATTTTGACAGCTCTAATTTAAATGCAAATTTGAATTTACATATTCATTGCGATAGATAATTAATTATCGATGTCAATTTAAGTGGCGCCAAAGTGCCGACTCACACAAAAATCAAATAAACGAGAACAAAAAGCTTACACAAAGCATTCCACAAAAGGCGTAAAATAAACTATATAAAATTTGTGCGTTATTCAAGCGTAGATGCGGTTTTCTAGAACTTAAGAAACAAAAAAATAAACAAGTTTTTACGCATTTAAATCAAATTTATTTAAAATTAAATCAAAATTAAAATCGTCTAGCAAATTAATTAAAATTATTTGTTTTAACGACTTTCTTTGAAAAAAAAAAATGAAGGAACGAATTCGCACGTCTTGGGAATTACCAGACGCTAAACAAAAAAGAGCGAAGCAAAAAAAAAAATGCAGCCGTCTGGCGCCAATCAATTTCTTTGCCTTGAGGCCCGATCAGTTTTGACTAATGATAAAGTAAATAATCTGTAAAGCGGATCGTCATGGGAGTTTGTTATTGGCTATTGGCCCAGTATTTTACTTTTTTTGTTATTAATAATATGGTTTTGTGTTATGGGAATTCCCAAGCTGTTTAGATTTCTTTCGCCTTGTTTGTTGCTCTTTCTTTCTTCTTTCTCTAATTTTTTCTCTCTATTTTGTTGCTGTTTTGTTTAGAATTGTTAGTTTCGAGCATGAACTGAAACTAATCCAACCGGATCTAGTTTCAGTTTAAGCATTCTATGTAAGTTGTTGCTTGTGTTTTGTTTCTTCTAGAAAGCATTTAAGCGAGCGAACA